TGGTGCCCCCGAGGCACAGCAGGCAGGGGACAAACAGCTTCCACTCTGCTCCAGCTCCAGCTCATCCACTGGGGATGAAGAAGGGCCAGGAACCGAGAAAATCCCGATGTGGAAGTGTTTAAAAATACCCCAAACCAGCCCAAAACCACTGGTGGCCACCAGGGCATTTGGAGATGCCGGGGAGCCGCAGGGAGGGTGTGACGGTGCCTGTGGTTCCCGGGAGGAAAAGGCAGTGGTTTCCTGAGGCTTCGGGATCTGCTCCAGGAGTGGGGCCGTGGGTGAGGTCGCAGGTGCATCTCACCCTGTCCCACCTGCAGAAGGTGGGATCCCACCTCGGGAGGTGCCAGTGCAGGGTCCGGAGGGGTTTTCCCTCCCTCCTCCCAAAATATTCCAGGTTAGGGGTGCAGAGAGGCAGCGCTGGTCCCAAAGAACGGAGGTCTCGTCCCTCCCCAAGCTCTGCCCCATTTATCCCTGTGCCCCAAACCTCTCCTCTCCTAATTCCTGCTGTAACCCAGTCAAGGTGACGGATTAGAACATCCCGGTGAGTCAGAGATGAGGTCAGGAGCGTGGCAGCCGGATCCTCTGTGCTCCAGGCCTGCCTGTTCCCCCCGGATTGTTTGGAACACTTTGGGAAGGCACAGTAGGGGACACGAGGACACGGGAGGTTTTCTCCTTTGTCACCCAGCAGCGGCCTGGCCCTGCATCCCGGGGGTTTTCCAGGGGGAGGTGTGTGCCGGGATGCAGCAGGTGCCAGCACAGCCTCAGTTTCCCCATCCACAGGGACTGGGATGTGTCAGCCCCTCGGAGCAAACGGGCTGTAATTCCCATGGGGAAGAGCTGGGAGAGGCTGAGGAGTGCAACGACTCTCCCTGAGCTTTGGGGAAGCGGGGAAAAAACCACAAGTTGCAGGATTTTTTTCTGACAGCTCTTTATTCCAGCTGAGGGCTCCTCCCCTGCCTCCGGCACCCGGGGTCATGTGCGGGGAGTGGGGCTGGGAGCAGGTCCCGGGGTCAGAGGGGGACGATGCCGGGGGTCAGAGGGGGTTTTGGGGGTCGGAGGGGGCCGAGCAGCAGATGGGGCCAAGCGGTGAGCCTGGCATCGTGCCAGCTGCTGGCACGGAGTGCTGGAGCGAGGCTTTCACAGGGATAATTAAGATACTTCCCGTCCTCCCCCCCACCTCGGTGCGAACCGGCCTCCCCTGACAGGCGATGGCTCCCAGCTGTGTGTCCGTCCCTCCGTCTGTTCCCGTTTGTTCCCGTGACTCGTGGCAGAGCTGGCACCTGGGCCACACTCTGGTTTGCCTGGGAGAGGGGGTTTGGGGGGCCCGGGGGTGCTGCTGGTGCCTTTAGGGGGACCCCCAGGGTACCTCTCCTTGCTGTGGGTGAGGACAGGGGGGATCTGCTCCCTCGGGCAGAGCGAGGCTCCATTCCACGCTCCCTGGAGCACATCCCTCGTCCCTCTCCCCCTGCTGTGCCCCCCATCCTCATCCTCATCCTCCTCCCTCACCGCTGGCAGCAGCGGCTCGGCCGCTTTCCCCGAGCTGCTCATTCCAAGGTTCCTCATTTCCTCTGGGCTTCCACGGCCCCGGTTGTTTGCTCCTCTTGCCGTGGCCACTTCAGCTGCAGCTCCCAGCCCCTGGCTCTGGGGCGGGATATTTTCTTCCCGGGAATGTTGCCCGTGCTGTGCCGAGAGCTCTCTCTCTCGTGAGTCACCCCTGGCTCTGCCCAGCCCGGTATCCCGTGGGATTCCCTGCACCTTCTCCAGCTGCTCAGCATCCCCCGCTGGCCGCGCCCGGGGTTTTCCAGGCTGGATTTATGTCGCTGCCTTGTGCCCAGACTGCTCAGGGGCTCACATCCCCGCGGGGCAATCCAGGTGATCCCACTGGGTCTCCTCTGCAGGAGGACAACCACAGCTACTACGTGTCGCGGGTGTTCGGCCCCGGGGAGGCCCAGAGGAAGGGGCTGTGGGTGGACATGGCAGCGGCCAACGGGAGCCAAGTGAAGATCCACGGGATCCTCTCCAACACTCACCGCCAGGCCTCGGTGAGTGGCCCTGTCCCCGTGTCCCCTCTCCCAGCAGGGGGGTCCTGGTGGCAGCAGAATCCCTTCCACATCCCAGGACGTGGGAGGTGTTTGGGGTGAAGGGGATGAGCACCCACAGGACCCCACTCCTGCCCCTCTCCCACCCTCCAAGCACTGTCCAGGGCACGGACCAGTCCCCCCCACATTCCCTTGGGCGTTTTCCCGAGGGCTGAGCGTGGTTCTCACCTCACCTCCCCTCCCTCCTGCAGAGGATCATCCTCTCCTTTGACTTCCCCTTCTACGGCCACCTCCTGCGGCAGGTCACGATAGCGACGGGCGGTGAGTCGGGATGGGGTGGGATGGATGGGATGGGTGGGATTCCTGCAGGGAGGGGATGGACATGGCTCTGGTGCTGTCTCTGACCTCACCCCACAGCCCCAGGGAGCTCGGGGAAGGGGATACAGCCCTTCTGACCTTCTCCCTGCACCCCCAAATCTCCCCCTGCTCCGCTGCTGCTGTTTGGGGACTCGGGTGCTGCCGGAGCCTCCGGTCCTCCAGCAGTTTGGGGGGGGTGTCACACAAGCTTGGAGGAAATCCAGGAGGGGACTCTGGGGGTAAAAACGGGGCAGGGTGGTGGGAGGGAGGGTCCTGGGGGTGGTTTGTGCTGCTTCACCCTCTGCCTGCTTCAGGTTTTATCTTCGTGGGGGACGTGATCCACCGCATGCTCACGGCCACCCAGTACATCGCCCCCCTCATGGCCAACTTCAACCC